AGTTGGGAAGCGGGAGGAACACTGCCACACAGAAAGCACAAACCCCAGAGCAGAGGGCGGAGGGCCAACGAAGAGAGAACCTTCACGAGGCGAGAAAGCTGCCCGGGCGGCCGCCGGGGAGAGGGTCGGTGCGCCCCCGCGGGCCTGCGGGCGGGGGGGCGCGGGGGCGATGCGGGGCTGGCGGCGGGGGGGAGGTCTCGTGCGCCCCGGGCGACTGCGGTGAGCGGTGGACGCTCCTCCCGGGCTGGAGAGGCCGAGGGGAGAGGAGGCGCTCCCGACCTTTAAACGCGCGCGCTCGGCCGGGCGTCTCCAGCGTCCCCGAGCCCCCCGGCGCCGTCTCGTTTCTCTTCGGAGGGACCCGAGGACTGGTGCCCGGGCTGCACGGTGACCCCAGTAGACTTTCCTGCGTGGAAGTGCCCGGGTTCTCCCCGCCGCGGGAGCCCTCCTGCCTGGTGTCGGTGACGAGCTGTCCCTCCCCTCTGCCCGCAGGAAACGTGCCCAACGAGAAGATCGCGATATGGCTCAAGGACTGCCGGTGAGTCCCCGCCGGCCTCGCGGAGGGAGACCCGGGCAGAGGGGACGCCGTCCCTGCGGGTCCCGTGGTCGCTGTAAACTAAACCGGAAAGTGAGCCTGCGGATCGCTTCCTCCTTTAAGCGCTTAGAAATGGAAGCACTGCGACCGCCGGTGACTCGGGGACCGCGTTAGCTCTGCGGTTGTTCCGGCTCCAGCTCCCGTGCGGGGTGCTGGTTTAGCATCAGGGATCGCAAACCTAAAACAGACCATCGTGCCATGCTGTTAGGCTGGCCTTGTTTTTATTCGAAAGGATTTTCATACGATATTTCATTTTGCTTTTGTTTTGACATCTTTACATCTGGCCTCAAATCATTTCCCTTTCAAATGTGTTTTAGATGAGTTTTGAAGCTGTACTGCACTCTCTGGGCTTGAATATTTTTGTGCGTGCCCTGATTCTGTTTGGAGAGCTATGAAAACTAGCTAACTTTGGGTCTTGTAATTTACTTCTTTGGAAATGCATTTGTCAGATGGCGCTGGAATTCACGGAAGGGAAATAGAGCTTTGAAGGCATTCAGACTGCATAAATCTGTTTAATTACATGTTTTGGCAACTGGTAAAAAAATGTTTGATAAAGTACGGAGGAGATGAATCATATTGCAATTAAATCTTATGACAGTGAAATGTGCTTGTTAATTCTTTTTTCCCCAATTTATTGCTACTTGTAACATCTCCAGTGAAGAATGTTGCTTTTTAAGATGTTTGTTTCTGCACGTATTCCCCCTCCCTCCCCCCCAGACGTTTGGGGCTTTTCTTAATCTTGTGTTCAAGTACCAGAGTTTGGGAAGTCGTTTTTGGGGGAGGGAGAAGTGATTCTCATATATGTCAGTTTATAGATAAAATATTGGCCACTAGACTATTGATGTCCTACTTTGATGAATTGTCTGGAGCCTTCCTGAACACTTTATTACAGATCTCCTTAACCTTTACTGGGGGTGTCATAGACCCTTCTGAAATATGATAAAGTATGTGAAACCTTTCTCTAAAGAGACACCAAAAAAATGTTTAAGAGCAAGAGAAGAATCACATCTTTACTTTATGATGTAAAGGAATTAAGTTTGTATAAGAGATTATATCAAGTATGGGGTAGATCTCCTTGTTTATATCAAGTAGGTAGTAAATAAGTGCATCTTTTAAGAGAAATGCAATAAGCAAATGTTAGTGTTCAGCAGGGTGCATCGTGTCTGACCATTTGCGAACTTTTATTGCAAATCTCGATTAATGTAGGCAGATTCTGTAGTCTGCCACTCCTTTGCTTCTTTTTCTTCTCTGCAGTTGCACCTGTTCTGTTCAAAAGTGGCATTCACCTGTACCTGGGAGAGGTAGAACAGGTCTTTTACTGTTGGCTTTATTATCACAGATTTGACTTCTAGGATATATGCAACTGTATTTTTTTTTCTGTAACAATTTAGGTTCCTTCCCAGAGTTGAACATCTAGCTACTTTGTACATTATAAACAAATTATCTGAAGACAGCATTTTTTTCTCAATAAGTTCTCAAATAGTCATTGTTTTCTTATTTCTCTCCATACCCTGAGTAAAAAGATACTGTTTTCTTAAAGTAAATATTTAATTTGATAACCATTTATTTTACTTTATTTTATTTTTGGCTAAGTGGAAACAAATTGCTTGGATTACCACCTAAGACAGGACAGAGTTTTTGATAGAATTTGGAAGAGAGCAATTATAAGAGTGAGAGACTTGTGTTTGAAGGAGAATGCCAGTTATGTTCTGCTTATTTGCCACTTTGTGTCAGTGCACAGACCAGTGGATACATCTGCACAAGGAGTAATAGTGTTTTGTCCTAAGAAAGGAGCCATTGAAAAGAATGACCTTTTTTATGGCATAAATTAGAGTTTTATTAAAACATATGCAACTGCCCTGGCTGGTTTGGCTCTGTGGATAGAGCGTCGGCCTGCGGACTGAAGAGGCCCAGGTTCGATTCCGGCCAAGGGTACATGCCTGGGTTGTGGGCTCAATCCCCAGTAGGGGATGTGCAGGAGGCAGCCGATCAATGATTCTCTCTCATCATTGATGTTTCTATCTCTCTCTCCCTCTCCTTTCCTCTCTGAAATCAATAAAAATAAATTAAAAAAAATAAAACATATGCAACAACTTAGCTCGAAGGTTTTATTAATATCTATGGTAGTTTATGATTCTTTTACTAAAAAAAAATCACAAAAAGCACAAATTTACTAAAAAAAAAATCACTAATTTCCAAAGAGCTGCCTTTGCTATATATTTGTTTGCAGAAAATCAATGTTTATTCGGCATTTCAATAACATTTATTTGAAACTGATATTTTTATGTTGATACTACATCTGAGGGAATTTTTAACAGGTATAAATTGTTATGAAAGTAGAACTTTAAAACAGTCTGTTTCTTTAACATAGTTTTGAGAAAGAAGTGGAAAACTTTTTTGCATTGAAAAAGAGATTTCTAAGTTATCTGTGACCTACAGGAATGTGAAAGGATTTTAGTAATGGCTAGTTCTTGATTCTCAAGCCGACTTTTTAGTAATTTTCTTTTCAGAGTTAAATGAAGACTACGTGTACTTTTTAGTTTAAAAGCAGAAAATAAATCTCCAGCCTCTCCATTTATATCAATAAAGATAGTAGTTGGGATAAAGGAGGTGCCCAGTGCTCTAAAATGCTAGTGATAGGTTTAACAGATAAGGTTTAAGATAACTCTTGAGCCTTATTTCTAACTAGTCTCTGACTTTTAATTTTATCCAGATAATGATTTGCTTTCTTTTAATTCTGTTTCCTGTTTCTAGGGAGCAGACTGAGGGAAGCAGACATTTTCTTAATTCCTACTGTCATTCTCTCTTTCTGTTTCTGTAAAGAAAGTGCCAGTTCATATCATTTATAATTGCCATTCTTGCTCTTAATTGCTGGCAGATCAGACGTGTGATTAAATCATTCCTGGTAAACTGACTTGACACAGGTATTTGCTTAGTTCGTAGCCTATTACTTATGTAATCCACTTGCATTCCTTGTGTGTTTGGGAGGAGAGTTACACTGTGATTAGAAGCTTGCTTAGCTATAACCCAGTAAGCATGAGGCTTGCAGTGACAGCTCTCCAGACAGCTTTTCAAGACTAAGGTTTATATGTTTGTGTGGTTTCAGTACCCCTTTGGGAGCCTCACTGGATGAGCAGAGCAGTAGTACGCTGAAAGGTAAGAAAAAGTTGCCTTTCTAAATCTGTTCTTTTCGAGGGTCCTGCTTCATTTGTCCTGTAAGTGAAAATATATCTTGTCAATAAACTTTTCAAAGGTGGTGAGCTTAAGCAAATTACCAAACGTTTCCATAACATGAAACTCATATTTTTATTGTCAAGTATATCTTTATACTTGATGTATGTGAACATGAGGAAAACATATTGTGTGAGGTAGATCAGCCTCAGTGCAGCATTTCTTTGCTTACATTAACTGAAATGGCCACACCTGAAATTTTACCACCTTTGCAAGACAGAATTCTAAAGTTCAAAGTACGACAAGAATGTGCAGGTAGTGGCAAGACATATAAGAAACAGTTATAGTATTGGGAAAATCTAGCTTGAGCTCCTGATTTAATATGAGGGGTGTGTGAAAGGAATGATTGCTCCAAGATCTGGTTTTCCATGAAAACCTTAGGTAAGATATATTATCTATTTGAATATCTAAAAGGCATATAAGTATTAAATAGCCTGTAAGTTGGCTTCTAAGAACTTCACCTGCCTGCAATCATGGTTTCTTTATGATAAAGTTTATACTTATTGAAATTATATAATCAGAATAATTTTTGAGGGCATTCGGGTCTGAAACACT